ACGCGAAAGTTTTGCACATCACTCTACATAAATGGGTTCGTATTCACTGATTATTATAGGATGTTTTCTCTGGCTGTTAATATAAGTAGTCCTCGTGACAGGCACTCTAATCCTCACATCTCCACACCGAACACATCAACGACCGAACGGAACATTCGATATTCGAGTCACTATAGTTTGGGGCATTGGTCTTCCCCACCGAGCCACTATTCGCTACACGAGTCACATCTGTATAATCATGAATCAAGACGAGTTGACTTCTCATTGGCATGATGATTTATGACAATTGCGACAGTGGGTATAGAAATTTTGACATTGTTTTACAACTAATGAGAATTTTCTTCAAGAGACAAATTTAACTTAATTATCTATTACCATGCTAAGTATGAATGTTATCAGGAATGTGTTCAACTCCATAAAAGATATAAAATTTGTTCAGTAGGCGGTCACATCTATTCTTGAATTTTTAGGACATATTCACAGCAAGTATGGTTACGATTCAATCATTCTCAATATGATTTGTTTTTTGGCCAACAGTGAGAGATATTTTTCAACTGTATACGTAAAGGTTTTGTTATACTTTTTAATGCGAAGTTTTTGATCACTTAGTAACAGAAGTACCAAAGGCTTTCTACCATGCGTGCTTCACTAAACTTTTTCTTGGATTGGTTGATTATTCAACAGATTTTCCGGAAATAGTTCATTGCTTTCATTAAACATTCAGACAATGATTTAAAAATAATTAACACAAATGTGCTGTCCTATCGAAGCATTGCACGACCGATTTTCGTTTCATAACACAGTTGCTACTGCCGAGAAGAAATGCGATCCAAGCGGACCCGATACCAATGCTCGGACCATTCTGTTCACAACGCTTTGCCACATCTCTTTCGACCATTTCGCCATGATGACATTTGTGGGCTAGAAAGGCCTTGTTCATTATGAAAACAAAGTGATTAAATAAATAAAATGCAAGCCGAGAGAGTTCCTGAAATGACAAATGTGAACTGGGAATAGTCTCGACTAACTGCGTTTTCTCGCTACCGTCTAGCTTACACATTGCAACGTTGCCTAATGCAGTCACTGTCTTTCCGAAGATTACGCATTTTGGCCTCATTCCCATCGTTGCTGCAACTGTTTTCTTCATCTGTACGTCCATTTCCATTACTCCGATACCCTGACGGGACACTTACAGCTTCCAGAAGGGCTATGGAGAAAATCATCCACCAGTACTACTCGGATCTCTTCGCTAGCCATGTTCTCTTACCGTCATATAAATTGAAAGAGGACGAATATGTCGTTCCACCGGTCCTTCCTTCCGAAATCCGACATGCTATATCGTCGGTGAAAAACAGAACAACACCCGGTCCAGACAGGATTAGACCAGAACACCTGAAGAACCTGCCGCCAGTTCTCATCAACACCCTGGCTCGGCTCTTCACTCGCTACCTGTCAGAATGCAAGGTCCCTATTCAATGGAAAACCAGCAAGACCGTATTGTTGTTCAAAAAGGGAGACCTTCACGACATAGGCAATTATCGCCCAATCTGCTTGCTGTCCGTTGTCTATAAACTCTTTACTCGAGTCATCCTGAACAGGATTGACAGAACACTGGACGAAGGACAGCCATGCGAACAAGCAGGGTTCAGAAAAGGATTTAGTACCATGGACCACATCCACACGATCAGAAGACTCATTGAAGTTTCGCGAGAGTACAAACAACCACTCTGTCTCACTTTTATCGATCTGAAAAAAGCCTTTGATTCAGTGGAAACAGAAGCGGTTATAGAGGCTCTGGATAACCAGGGCGTCCCTACTCGGTACATAATGATCCTTCGTGAGCTTTATAAAGATTTCACGACCAGAATATCTCCATTACAACAATATCACCACTGACGTAAGAAGAGGGGTTCGACAAGGCGATACAATATCGCCAAAACTATTCACTGCCACCCTACAAAACGTCATGCGAACATTAGAATGGGACGAAATGGGAGTGAAAATTGACGGTCGACAATTAAACCATCTTCGCTTTGCTGACGATATCGTTCTCATAACACCAAACATCAGCCAAGCGGAACGAATGTTGACTGATTTCGATAACGCCTGTGGAAAGATCGGTCTTCAACTGAATCTAACGAAAACAATGTTCATGAGGAACGGATGGGTTTCTAATGCCCCATTCACGCTCAACGGAACGACAATTTCCGAATGCTCCAGTTACATCTATCTAGGTCGTGAAATCAATATGATGAACGACCTAGCCCCAGAGTTGAGCAGGAGGAAACGAGCGGCTTGGGGAACGTTTAAGAGCATCGAAGATGTAGTGAAGAGGACAAAGAACATCCGACTCCGTGCCCACCTTTTCGACTCGACAATTATCCCTGCCCTAACGTATGCAGCAGAAACCTGGTCGCTACGTAAGCAGGATGAAAGATCACTTGCCGTTATCGAACGCGCAGTCGAAAGGTCGATGCTAGGAGTATCTCGTATTTCGCAAATGAGACAAAGGATCCGAACTTCCGACCTACGTCAACGATCGAAAATCAGAGACGCCGTTCTACACGCCAGGATATCGAAAATAAGGTGGGCCGGACACGTGATGCGCTTCAACGACAACCGATGGACGAGAGCCGTTACCGACTGGATTCCTCGGGACGTCAAGCGCTCTAAAGGAAGACCACTGACCCGTTGGTCCGATTTCTTCACGAAAGCGATGGAAGAAAGATATGATGCTCAGCGAATTCCTAGAGCAAGGAGGACCCACTGGGCTACTCTTGCACGCGATAGGGAAAAATGGAAGAGTTGGTGGTACCCGCTCGAGTCACTCGACGATCAACGGGACGACAGGTGATACAGGTGATACGCATTTTGGCCTCATTCCCATCGTTGCTGCAACTGTTTTCTTCATCTGTACGTCCATTTCCATTAGAATGAAACCTCGTTAACAAAGAAATTTAGTGGTTTCTGCTTTTGCTGAGTGAGCATCTGGTGCAACGAAAAGTTTTCTTCCAGTAAAGGAAAAGATTTAATTTCTTGCTATGGTTCCGTTCTGCGTTTTTTGTCTGGCTGTGCACTTACTCATACTCATGGTGAACTTGACATAAGACTCACAATATTTTCAAGATTACTATGGAGTTGTGAAATACTAAAAATGAATGATTGTCAAGAATCTAACAATTGCTCATTGGCAGAAGTACGATGTTATGACTATATACCGAATAGTGTTACTTATATGCCAAGCGGTGGGATTTGAACCCCCCTTTCACAGCCCCGAGTTGCGCTGCTAACCATTACCAGGGCTCCTGTTGCTAACACTCTATACAAGAATAATTAGATCGCTTGTACGAGCTCCCGAAAAAGGTGAAACGCTGACTCAGCTCCCGTCCGGAATTCAAAGACTTGAATATCACTCAAAATTACTGGTTATTCCGAAATGCTTGATAACGCGAACGAACTCTTAGAAAACATGCGTACTTTTTCTTGTTTACTCTACGAAAAACAAATTCATGGATTTTTATCTGAAAAGTAGAGACGTGCACCACTCGCACGGTTAACAAAATTGTATAGGGAAATATATAGCATAGCGTAATGCTAATTAGATGGATGTATACACTGTCGTCAATGATTTTTCACGTAGTTTACACCCTAAATCTGCCAAAGCAACGTCGAACCTTGAAAACGCACAAGGAAAAGGTGTTGCAGGATTAGCATGGTTAACTATCTATCACATCTTTGCATTCCAGTGGTGAGTAGTTTATGCTGACAATGAGCTGATTTGAAATGGCTGCGATTTGGCATCGGAGAGGGCGGCGGCACGGCTCTGCCTTTCGAGAACATCGTAGCTTAACAACAGAGTTGTTGCTCGCTGACAAAGGTTATGCGGAGGTTTCCAATGCAATTATATGAGAAACGCAATCGAATCGAATTGTCCAAATATTTATTGATAACTGGAAGTCTCTGTCAATGCATCCAAAAGTTGAAGTGGCCGCTTGCATTACGGCAAGCATCACAAATGCCTTTGCTGCCCCTTCATTCGATGACATACCGACGACCTGAGCAATTGCACCAGCTGCAGAAGAGAAAGTCATAGTCATCGGCAAAGAGAAGATGGAAACGTTGAAAGTCCTTAAGCTCATTGCAGGTGAATTTCACAGATCACTGAGAAAGTAAATCAAATTCCAAATATAGTCTAAGAGAATGTTTGACACTGTTATTTGTTCGGATAAGAATCTATTTTGATGTACAGAGAATTTCTGGTAGATAAGTACTAAGCGTTCGAAGGTTTAAATATCGGAGAACCGAAAAATCTACTTGTTTTCCAGAAAGGCCTTCCTACAGAACTGTTTCATCCAAAATAAAATTACATTTCACGCACGTCGAGCAATATCGCGTTTGTGTCTCGCACGGCGAAACTCCCCACTGAAGCATCAATTAACTATTAAATAGCGTAAATCTCGCAGATTATAAAAACGTGTTTGCTTCCAAAAGGTCTTCTTTGTAACGTTGTAGCGGAAAAATAAGGTTGCGTCCTGCACAAGCTGCGCGTTATCACGCATATTATTTGCAGAGCACAGTTCTACTCCTTGACTGCTAGTACTCAATCGTTAAAGTAAATCCTGAACATTTCAAAAATGCACTCAATGTTTGAAAGGCTTTTGTTAGCCTGTACTAGACAAAATAAAACTTATCGGGTGAATTTTTACTATTGATTTTGAGTTTTTTTTCTTTTTCGTAGACATTGTTGAATTTTTTTTGTATTGTGATCGCAAAACAAACTCTGTTTTGTCATTCTAATTTTTAAGCTTTGCTAATACATATTACCAAATAAACCCGACATAAAGCCTATGTCTGCGCACGGAAAGCATATAAACTTGCAGAGGAAATCTTCTGGTATCAGAGTAACATGTTTCATCTCAATTTCTTATTAAAGCGAAAAATAAAAATCCGAAATTCAGGAACAAATTGAGATGTTGAAGGATGAGTGGTTGGGCAAATGTGCCTCAGTGGTGTAGTGGTAGAGCACGCGTCCCCGGATAGGATGAAACGTGGGTTCGATTCCCGATTGAGGTCGTGTTTTTGCTCGCCACTCAATTCTCTTAGGAGTGTAGTTTTTTCGTTGGAGCATAAGAAACTAGATGAATTTTGGAAAATATAGATAGTGTTTTTGTTGAGAATATCTTTGTAGAAGCTTTCTCAATGAATAACATCATTTCATGAAAAAATGCTCTCTCAAAATCCGGGTTAGTTTCCTCGGATCCATCAAGCTGTCTGGTGTCTGTCTTCTCACGCGATAAACCGCCTCTCCCACGGGGCGCCGTTCAGCCATTATGATAGCTGAGGAAATTTGACGTCGCACGGTGTGGGGCTAGAGGTCCCACATGGCCTTCAAAGGGCTAAAAGCGTCAGTCAACAATTCCCTCGCGTTGCACAGAATGTTGCTTGTTAAATTCAACAGTCTGCAAGATTTAAAATAATATGATTAAATCTCAAAATGATCACGAACTGTCTTTTCCTTTATTCAAAGCCTGCGCAAGGCTGGTACATGCTTGCCCTCAAAACTCGATGACTAGCTTTTCGGGGGCGTCATCTTCGTCAGAGCCTAGACGTATATATCGTAGTTAGTATCCATTAGCCATCGAGCTAGCCGAAACGTTAGCCATTGAGTTTTGAGGAAAAGGAAATACCAACCTCCTGCAGGTTTGAATAAAGAAAAGGACAGTTCGTGAGAAATTTTGCATTTCTTTAAACATGCCGAGGTATCGAGACAGTCGGACTTTTTGAGCTATCTTAAAATAATCAGTTATCACTTTATATTGTCTACAATACCATGTAGCATAATTTTTCGACATAAATTATGAAACCATTTGTTGAACGCCAAGGCTCTTAAGCACATTCCCGATAGCAGTATTGAAACATGGTAAACAATAGTACTGCTTGCATCGACTGCACCTCGTGCTTACTCGATAACTTTTGCTTTCAGCATATGCAGTATTTACACGTAGTACCAATTTTCTATAGCATTCAATGCACCGTCCACGACATTGTAAAGTGATTTCAAAAGTTTCAACTCGATTCTTTTCGAAATGCGAGATTTTCTCAGCACGTCTTTGAACGATACGTGCAAGAGATTCCAAGTTTTACTGATGTAGAATACCTACGATCCAGGGTATTTATTTAGGCACAACTTCTCTCTTAGCATCAACATGTAGCAGCTTTATAATAGCCTTCATAAGTGCACCCTTTTTTGATACGGATTCAATTTCTCACAGTAACGTAAAAAGCAGACATAATGATTCAATCATACAAGACATAATCATAACCATACAATTACACTGTCTGGAATATTCAATGGTTAGCATATCTTGCAGCTCATGTAAAAGCATACTCAGTAAACTTGATACAGCAGCCAATTCAATATATTGTCGTAGTATCACGCTTCGATCGTCAGGAAAGAATAAATGTAAACACTTAGGATGTAAATTGAAATTGCAGTGTGCTGAAACAATGCTAAAGCGGAAACACTGCTTCACGGACTACTTAATCGATTGACCCTTCCGCGCAAAACCTTTCTGGTATTCTGAGTTTCCGAGTAATCCTTGTGTGCAAAACTATAAAAGATTGGAAACGAACGAATTCCTGTTGCATAAACATAGTCGTAGTGAGTTATCGATGACCTGGCAACGAAGCACTGTGCAACATCTTTTTTGACAAACTATATTATTTTCCGATTTTCAGTCACAGTAATAACTATTAAGTACATTATTTGATAAAATATATCTAACTGATAGTTTACATCATTAATTTTTGTGTACAATTTATTACAATTGGAAAAAGCCAACATCACTGTGATTGCATAGTAAAAGAGAGCTTTCTATTCAAACACAAGCGTTATATTAGCGCCAAAAGCAAAAAAAACATTCGGAAAAAATCGTGAAGTATCGTAATATCACAAGAAACCTTAGATTTACTTTGAAACCGGTGAAAAAACCCTAACCAAATAACATAAATCGTGCATCGGCTCCGATTAGCACTGCGCGTGGCGGTTCGATTGACAGTCCAAAAAAGGTCAAAGAATAGTATTTCCAGCAATGACTAATTTTCAAGGAGCTCATCTACCACGCAGTGAAATCTAATCACAACCTAAATGGTTTAGATACATTGTTTGTTTGCCTAGATCTGTAAATTTAATGTTATTAAAACCTTAAGAGTGGTGCTAATCAACTTATTTTTGACTTAGTGAATAGACCGCAATGGTAGTGCTGTGAAAGTCGTTTTAGAATAGGTAATGTGTTTTGCAGTTTTTTCTTTCGTTTGCGGTTAATTACACTAACTATATCAAAAGATCGACTGTTTTTGAAACCCCCAAAAAACATTCAATATAATTCCAAAAAAAAAGAGAATGATTTAAGCTCAAAAAAGGGGTTGGTAAGCCCAGGGTCATACACCGGTGTTTCGGAGGTTCGTCCTCCTCATCAGTGACCCCCGCCCCACATTCAGCCCTGCATTGCAGCAAGGAGGGTGGCGTATGTGGTGATGGCACAGTGTACTATGACACTGTACCATCACCACCTCTCAGTCGATAGATTTTTGCTGTTAGATCAAAACTATATCAAAAGATCGACTGTTTTTGAAACCCCCAAAAAACATTCAATATAATTCCAAAAAAGAATGATTTAAGCTCAAGCTTAGTTTTGATCTAACAGCAAAAATCTATCGACTGAGAGGTGGTGATGGTACAGTGTCATAGTACACTGTGCCATCACCACATACGCCACCCTCCTTGCTTCAATGCAGGGCTGAATGTGGGGCGGGGGTCACTGATGAGGAGGACGAACCTCCGAAACACCGGTGTATGACCCTGGGCTTACCAACCCCTTTTTTTAAGCTTAAATCATTCTTTTTTTTTTGGAATTATATTGAATGTTTTTTGGGGGTTTCAAAAACAGTCGATCTTTTGATATAGTTTTGATCTAACAGCAAAAATCTATCGACTGAGAGGTGGTGATGGTACAGTGTCATAGTACACTGTGCCATCACCACATACGCCACCCTCCTTGCTTCAATGCAGGGCTGAATGTGGGGCGGGGGTAAAGGCTCTTGTACAGCCCGAGACACGTGTTTCGTCCTTACAGACTCATCAGCCGGGCAGAACCCGTCGTCTGTCGATCTTTTCATAGTCAGTTCTCTTGGGAGCGTCACACTCCTCGTATATAGTTATCGACGACCTACGCTTTACACTCTATGTCAGGTGTCTATGTCATTCACCTAATCGACAGACGACGGGTTCTGCCCGGCTGATGAGTCTGCAAGGACGAAACACGTGTCTCGGGCTGTACAAGAGCCTTTACCAGACCACATGACATGTTGGCTCAAATAATAATGAAAGGATCTATTGAAATTTGAGCGTGGTCTTAATAAAGCACTCGAAGGAAAGGTATACTATGAAGACACTTTCACTTAACGTATATTCAATCTTTCTCCCTATTCTAATATATTACAATTTCTCCAAAATATACCTTCCGCACGGAATATTTTCTCCGCCAGATTGAAGCGAAGAGAAAAACGGTGCTCTACAATCATCAGTCATGATATTGCTGCGAACACTGATCAAAGTTGAATGCGTGACTTGACGATTTTTCGTTTGATCAAGCAGCAAGTAGTCTTAAACAAAATTCTTCTTTGCGAAGAATTTCACAGTTAACGCCATTCAATGTCATCAACTTTTAAGTGCTTTATATTTCTACACTTTCTGGAGATATGGGTTTTGAAAAAAGCAGCCGTGTGCCTTTCTGTGACTTTCCTAATCAATGACGAAGATAGCGGCCTTTCATCGTCTCCAATACTGTGTCGAAATACGAATATAAATGGAAAAAGTTCTAGTACATAACGATTTTTCCCATGTTTCAGTGCCTGCCCAGTTGAAAGCTGAATTTTTTTGGTCTTTTTTGCTTCAGCTTGAAAATTCTTCGCCATGTCTTGGAGCCACAAATAAATGTATAATTAGAGAAAAATACTTTTTTTGCATTGTACATCAGAGTTATTTCTGATTTCTGGTAAGAATAAATAAAGCGGGAAAAAAGTTTAGTGATTACGACAGAAGCTAGAGTGAAGAATAGACCTGAATAATGCTCGTTATATTCTGTTGAGAGGACGGTTCCAAAATAAGCGTACTGTTCAGGAGAGTTTTTGACATTTTGACGACAAAAAATCAAATCCGATCAGATCCGTGGATTCGTTGCTACCTTTCTGGATATTTGGTTGGACGATTACACGGAAAGCTGATTGACGTGCTCTATCGCAACGGGACCCTCAAGGTCGCAGTCACAGCCGCGCCGCCATGTCACTGAGACGGTGGCCAGTTTCGTAACCTGTTGGCTCCATAAGCGGTCGTTGTAATGACTGATCCATTGCAAGCCTATGATTTCATTCCTAGTCGTTTTCTTTCTGTTCTCATCATATCGGTCGCTTGCAAAGCTCAGTGCATTGTGAACGGAGAGCATGACGACGGCAGCGAGCCAACTCATGGGTTCTGTTTGACTGACCACCGGGGGATGGGTTCCAGTCCACATATACCGCCCCCCCCCCCCCCCAAAGTCATGCTGGCTTAAATATTCACCCACTGGTTCCCTCTTTCAGTGTTCTCTTCTTTTCGATTCTGTCTAATTGGACGAGTACAAAGCATTCCAGGGTTCGCCGAGTAGTCAAACCTCGCAGCTCATCGCTCAATTTATCGATTTGCCCTCATCAGTCTCTCATCACATAATGCTATGTCGTCATGATGTATATATAATTGGTATGTTACCACTGTGATGATGTATACATATTTCAGACTGTTGTTTACACCGAATACATCGTTGGTGTTTGGTATACCACGTTGTTGTGTGGTACTACTACATCATTGCTGTCTTATATGGATTAATTCCATCGTTCATCTCGCCATTCTGTACTCACTACAATAAACCAATCATCTATCGTGTCCAAGCCCACAACAAAGCGATAGTGGCAATCCAACTCATTCAATCAATCATACCAACACCAAGTCCATCCCCATCGAGAAGCAGGAAGATCGG